GGAAATTCTACCTTTATTTCATATGTAATTCTTTAAGATTCAATTATTTCCCGAGAAATTGGAAAAATTTTGTAACCAATTTCCAAAAAGATTGGTAACAAAAAATAATACACTTTATAGCACTCCCCAGAAAATTCTACCTCTACTTCATATACAATTGTTTGAAATTCGGTCAATTAATTTCCGAAAAATTTGAAAATTTTCTGATACCGATTTCCCCAAAGATCGGTAACAAAAAATTATATATTTTATGACAATCTCCGGGAAATTCTACCCCTACTTCATATAATTTTTTAAGATTCGGTCAATTAATTTCCGAAAAATTGGAAAAATTTTGTAACCGGTTTCCAAAAAGATCGGTAACGAAAAATTATACACTTTATAGCACTCCCCGGAAAATTCTACCTCTGTTTCATATATAATTCTTTTAAATTCGGTCGATTATTTCCCGAAAAATTAGAAAAATTAGAAAAATCGGTTTCCAGAAAATCGGTAACGAAAAACTATACACTTTATGGCACTTCCCGGGAAATTCTACCCCTATTTCATGTACCCTTGATAAAAATTCGGTCCACTAACGAATGAGTAGTTCGCGGTCAGACAGACAGACAGACAGACAGACAGACGTCCGGTACTTATATGTTAAAGATGTTAATATCTGATCAGGTATGATCAGGTACGAACTATATATTTATAAAATATGGACATATATATTTAAGTAAGTTTCAGAAAATTGTTATATATTTTCAAAAATTATTTTTTAAGAGTGCTATTATAAAAGTAGACTCCACGATACAACTAATACAAAAATTGTGCCGCTCTATAGTGCGAGACAGTGTCGTCTCTTTTGATACCGTTCTTATAACACTGTTTGTCAAATTTTAAATACGAGAAATAGATCCCATCGAATACTTTGATATGCAATATCTAATCTGATCATATATAATCTTATATGACTATATAGGTTCATATATGATTATATATGCTCTATATATGGGTATGTAAAACTTATATCTGTTCATATCTTATTTATATATGTTCATATACTGTCAGATATGAATATTTTTCCCGGACATTTTATTCCCGGATATAAAAGTCCGGGAAAAATATTCATGTATCTGACAGTATATGAACATATATAAATGAGATATGAACAGATATAAGTTTTACATACCCATATATAGAGCATATATATATAATCATATATGGTTATCTATCGCCATATATGATCAGATCTTGTGTCATGTGTAATGTACGATGTGATCATATATGGCGATAGATAACCATATATGATTATATATGCTCTTATTTATACATGGGCATGTAAAACTCATATCTGTTTATATCTTATTTATATATAAGTCGTTTTATTTTTGACCCAACTGGCCAATTGAAACAAGATTGCACGACGTTTCGACCGAATTCCGGTCCTTATCAAGTGCTTTAAGGAGGCTCTTACCTCGATCATAATATGACAGATCTTTATGAAATTAATATATGTTGTAAAGTGAACCACAACGGACCGATGCCCAAAACTTGAGCATAGGTTGACGATAAAAACTGTAAAAATATCAGTATTGAAATTCGCATTTTTAACACAGGGCATATGGTAAACACTAAAATTTTTACCGGAAATGATGTATTTTCTTGGCAAGTTTGCGAGCCAGGTAAACAAAAAACTAAGGAATTGTAGTTAAAATAATAATCTTTCTAATGATAAGAAGAAAACTTGGTGTTGACGATTAGTTATAAAAGATATTGTAGTTTTAATATGACGTACGAGAGGTTAGGACGAATGATCTTCCGAGTGTCAAAATCGCGCGAAGTTTCTAACCTCACTTGCACATGTCTTTTCTCTGCGCTGTATGGTAGCGGCATAATTATTCTCTCGCGCATTGACAACCTTTATTTTCGCGAATTTTCCTTTCATTTTCCCTCTCAGCATTCTCACATTATATCTTTCTTTTGGCTCCATCTCTTCATCGCATCATTCGCTACAACGCTACACGGCTACACCTCACTTAGCTGCAGACTGCTACAGACGACTGAGGCGACGTTGTGACACGCGCATGTTCTGCTCTTTAGCACTGACGTAGTCAACTGACTTATTGTATAAATTTTAATATTTACACTAATAGAACATATAACTTACTCTTACACTATGTAAAAATCATTATTTATTTTTTTATTTAATTTTCCGATAATTTTATAACCAATTATTAATGATAATTTTTCGGTTGCTACATTGATTAGAGCAGCCGGGTAAGAGCCTCCTTAATTCAAGTTACACCGATCCGCATAACAAACTTAATTGCATCGTTGACGTGGTGTCCTGACAACGTCAAGACAAACGCAAAACTAAACAAAAGAGAAAATAATACATTTAACAATAGAAAAACTATACAAAATCATTACAATATCGCGCTAGTCAAAAACAATAAAATCAATTAATACTGTAAAAATTAGTTAAAAGCTTACAATTCTTATGCGTTCCAAAACAAACGGTGAAATCAAAACGTCATATCGAGGCAGCCATATCGAGGCACAACGTCCGAACAGTAAGACAGTCAAAGTCGAAATGAAGTTGTCAAACGTAATCCGCGGATAGCAAACGGCGCTCTGGTGGAAAAACGAGCAGAACCGAATATACAGTGCCGACTAAGTAATACCAATGACACGGTTATAAATAGATGGCAGGCTCTCAGTATCGTTTTGTAAATTGATTGTGCAACCATGTTTTTTAATGAAAAACATTTCCGATATTTCTCTTTTTTTTGAAATGTTTTTCTTTGTATAAAATTTTCGGATGCTGCCACTTGAAATCATGATTGTGTGCAAGACGGTGTTTGTTCACAACAGAATGATTATCTACATTTCTCTGATATCACATCGATGTTCTTTGATGCGTGTTTCTAAATGCCTTTTTGAAAAGCAATCCTATAAGAAAACAACATCGAAAATCAACGAAGTGGCAAAGTCTTGGTTTAACATGGGCACATCAATGAGCAAGTTTTTAGACATTTGAATTGCACTAATGGGAATCTTCCGCGCAGTTACGGACTCCCGAAGATTCATAAAATTGGCTCACCATTACGTATAATTGTTTCCATTTTAGGCAGTCCGCTTTATAATATCGCCAGTCGTTTGCAAAATATTTTAGAAAAATCTGTTCCTGAACCTGAATCATATGTTAAGGATGGTTGGTCCTTTGTAGAATTGATTAGAGGAGTAAGAGTGGGAGACGGTGACGTTTTAATTTCGCTAGATGTCACTTCTCTTTTCACTAACGTATCTAAAGATCTTGTTTTGAAAGAGATTGAAGAGAGATGTAATTCCATCACTACAAAAACTGATCTCAGCCTTCCACAATTCTTGAGTGCTGTAGACTTGATCCTCAGTTCTACTAGTTTTATGTTCAACGGCCAATTTTATGAACAGATCTTCGGAAGCCCGATGGGGTCTCCCCTCTCTCCTATCTTGGCTGACATGGTCATGGAGGATTTAGAGAAGCATTTTATACAGCGCGAGCGGCTCAATTTCAGGATATCCTTTTTCAAACGATATGTGGATGATATTTTCGCGGTTGTTCCCGAGTCGGGTATTAGGGAATTATTAGACAGTTTCAACAATTACAACGATAGATTAAAATTCACTTATGAAATGGAAAGCAATGGTAAATTGAGTTTCCTTGATACCACGGTCATCCGCGAGAGAGGCTCATTGCTCACGAATTGGTTCCGTAAACCAACTTTCTTGGGCCGGTATATACATTATTTTTCAAACCATCCTATGAAATATAAAATTAACATCGTAAGGAATTTAGTTGATCGGGCGATTCTTTTGTCCGACGCGCGGTTTCACAAGTCTAATATTAGTAAAATAAAAAAGATCCTTATTAATAATTGTTACCCGAAGAAAGTTGTTGATAAATATGTCAATGTCCGGCTTGGCGAATTGCGAAATCGTAACAACAATGATCCTGTCAGTAGCGAAGTGGCCCAAGATCCTCGAAGGTGCATTACTGTACCTTACATAAAGGGCCTTAGCGAGAATGTTAGCCGTATAATGCGAGACATGAACTTTAGAGTTCTTCACACCATCCCGAAGAGATTGGATTGTGTCATTAGGAAGGGTAAAGACGGGTTGCCGAATCTCAGTCAGACTGAGTTAGTTTATAAGATTGATTGTGCAAATTATGATGCGGTATATATTGGCCAGACAAAAAGGCATTTAGAAACACGCATTAAAGAACATCGATGTGATATCAGGAAAAATGTAGATAATCATTCTGTTGTGAGCAAACACCGTCTTGCACACAATCATGATTTCAAGTGGCAGCATCCGAAAATTTTATACAAAGAAAAACATTTCAAAAAAAAAGAAATATCGGAAATGTTTTTCATTAAAAAACATGATTGCACAATCAATTTACAAAACGGTACTGAGAGCCTGCCATCTATTTATAACCGTGTCATTGGTATTACTTAGTCGGCCCTGTATATTCGGTTCTGCTCGTTTTTCCACCAGAGCACCGTTTACTATCCGCGGATTACGTTTGACAACTTCATTTCGAATTTGACTGTCTTACTGTTCGGACGTTGTGCCTCGATATGGCTGGTGACGTTTTGATTTCACCGTTTGTTTTGGAACGCACAAGAATTGTAAGCTTTTAACTAATTTTTACAGTGTTAATTGATTTTATTGTTTTTGACTAGCGCGATATTGTAATGATTTTGTATAGTTTTTCTATTGTTAAATGTATTATTTTCTCTTTTGTTTAGTTTGGCGTTTGTCTTGACGTTGTCAGGACACCACGTCAACGATGCAATTAAGTTTGTTATGCGGATCGGTGTAACTTGAATTAAAGCACTTGATAAGGACCGGAATTCGGTCGAAACGTCGTGCAATCTTGTTTCAATTGGCCAGTTGGGTCGAAAATAAAACGACTTATTTTGAATTATTTGCTGGCGACGGAAATTGTTTTGTTTATTTATATATGTTCATATACTGTCAGATATGAATATTTTTACCGGACATTTTATATCATTATATCCCAATCTGGTCATATATAGACAGATCTGATCATGTTTCATATCATTTCCGGTCGTATATAAACATATATACAATCATATACAGCATCGTGTCTTGTCATATATGATCATATACAGTGCCGATATAGTTATGTATGGCCACATATAATTATATCTGATAATACATGGCCGAACATTCTTTATATACGACCATGTGAGGCCAGATACGATTATGTATAGTGTCATATCTGCTACACATAATAATATGTATGTCTGACCATATATGAACTTATATGATCAGATCTTGTGCCATGTATAATGTACGATCTGATCATATATATTGTATACACACCCCTGTACACAATGAAACATTTGACATTATTTTAAAAAAATCGAAATTGTGGCTAAACTTTAAAAATAACTTATGAGTCATCTTATGTAATATGTAGCCAACTAAATTCATGAACTGATGCAAAAACACAGATCTCCAACTCAATAATTGAGAGATAAATGCTATCATAAAAAATTTTTTTTTATTTCCCGAAGTTGGGACCACGCGGATTTTATTCCTCACATCAAAAACAACTTATGTGTAAAACTTTAGGTCAATCAGGAGCAGGGGTCATTCGGAACTACACCTCTAATACAGTGACAAACATACTATAGCGCAGCATGGCACTAATACGAGAGTACTGACATTCGTTTGCTGAACGAGGGCAATGGACGGTTAATGTTCAGATAGCGCAAATGACAATACCTGGAATGGTTGAGTAGGCAATAAGAAAGTCCGCTTGAGTAGGGATGCGGAATGTTGAGACAAGCCCATCCGTTTCAGTACGCTCTTTGAGATTAATACCTGGATCCAGTTTATCACCCTGGCAAGCTTGTATAAAAAATAGCTTAGGTTTGCCAGCAAGACTCTGGCATTTATCGGCAGTGAAGTAATGCCATAGAGAATCCGCTTTATACGCAGTATCATGAGCGTAGAGCAATCCAAGTTCACCGTGACTTAACACAGCTATCACCAAGCAATCATGTTCAGAATGATCCATTTCCGCAGCTGTGAAAGTAATAATCTGCTTGTTATCACATATTTCACTTATATCCTACATGATATTTCATCTATAAAACATCAGACATTCTCTTTATACTTTTTATATATAACAAATGTTTCTTAAAGCGAATTCGGGCGCTTGCACTAGTGCACACTGAGTGCGCACTAAGGCTTGTTTATAATCTATTCTTATATTTAAAGTCATTTAAATACACATTTAAAAATTTTTTAGCCAATAAAACAATCTGTATATGGATCTATATGGATGCTGTACAAATCATTTTACAGACTAAGAAGTATTTGAGATGATCTGTAAATATAACAATTGATTAAGAACAAGCCTTAGTGCGCACTCAGTGTGCACTAGCGCAAGCGCCCGAATTCGCTATTAAATAACAAGTTTCTTAAAGAAATGTTGAATGTGCGAGTTGAACGTTGAAGTGCATCTTACCTCTTTCCAATTGTTTTACTACATCTTTGTGAGTTAAATTGTGAAAGTCGTTCACTTCAAAACCAAGATTTTTCAAGTTGAGGGTTAAATTTTCACAATCGACATTTGTACCGCAGCGAGGTTTAAGATGTGGGACAGTGAAAAATTCATGATTGAAGATGAGAGCTACACCACGCTTGGAATGATTCATATTATAGTATGTGGCATAACGCTGAGTAGGTGCCAATTGTGCTACACTGAGAGGAGAAACTGTGCTGCTCCTGTAAAAAGAATGTTGTCTTGTTGTTCCATATATTCTAACTTAAAACTTTTCCATATTAGATTCAGAGTCTATGACTATGTTTACACGGCTGCTTATAATCCAGTTTAATAACTACTGTAGGGGGGACCATTTAAATTTATCGTAGAAACTTGCCTTTTCTAGAGACCCTCCAGGGAGTCCCTACCAGGGATTCAAGCGCGAAAAGAATAATCGACTATGATTGGTCTATTTTCTTACGGCCTTACAATTACAACTAAAACATTGTTACGTGCAATGGCCTTAAGCCACCATATAAATATATATAGTCTGTATATGTTTTCTGGTACATGCTTATTTGCTACACATCGGATGCTTTCCATTTACTGATACAAGTTGACACAATTGTTGTTCTGTCTTTGTAACTAATTGAATGCAAAGAAAGATAGAACGACGTTTGTGTCGACTTGTGTCAATAATAGGAAAACACCTATTTACATCTGTATTCAGAGCCTGAATTTTACATCTCGTAGGGGAGACCGGGGCTATGTGTCCACACTTTACGCTTTTTTCAAGTTTACTAAAAAACTAATAAAGATATTTGGCTAAATGGTATAACCTTTCAACCTTGCTATTAAAAAAAAAAAAAAAAAACAATTAGAATAATTGATTTTTTAACATTTTAAAGAAACAAATTTTTTAAGTAGACAAGTCAAGCGTAGACAGCCCCATATGCGGGGCTATCTGTCTACATTCGAGGGGCTATCTGTCCACATAATATAAAACACATTTTTTATATTAATTTCTATATTTATTTATGATATTATTTATTATTAATAATATTGGAAAAACTGCCTAGTCGTTGGAATCAGAGAAGTAGTAGGCACTTTGTGTAGATTTTTTGATAAGTTTCCTGCGTAGAGCTGACTTTTTTTTATATACGGTGGCATCAAACTGATTTTGAGTCCATTGTAAAATCAATGTGATGAGTTTCTTTTGTCTCCTCAATTCTTTAATCTTTTTTTTTATTTAGAGCCTTTAGTTTATCCTCGGCAGCGTTTGAAATAGAAAATACTCAATAATTTAAGACAAACTCATATATTTAACTTGACGTGTATTTTTAAAATAAAAATTTGGTAACGATTCTTGAATCGCAGGATCAAGTAATTGCTCGTAGGTCATTTTTTTACAGTAGCGAGTGAGAGCCCGAACATTTATTCCAAAGTCTAACGCTGATTTTACGAAAAGATTCTCGCTCAATTTTTATTCTTTTAATCGCTCTAAATATAATTTTATTAGATATGTCTACCTTATCCGTCTTAAGGAAAGTCTTTCTTTTGTAGTTGCGCACCATTTATAAAAGAACAATTCGTCATTGAAGTGTGGACACATTGCCCCATCAAAAATAGAACAGATAGCCCCGACCACGTTTTTCAGTCGTTAACATGTTGCCACAATTTTAGATAATGCGGAAGTAAGATTTGACGCTTCTCACACCTGATAACTATATATTAATTGATAATATTATGAATTGCTTACTTTAATTTCAGTTAAACTACCGTCGCACAGCAAATTTTTCGACCGTCGAAAAATGTGAATAATTGTTTTCGCTTTTCTTTTAACGTATATATAGCGTCTGCGAGAGGTATCGCAAGAAAACAAACAACATTTAAATGTCTTACGTAGGGCATTTTTCAACTACTTGTTACAATGGTAGAGACATCTGTCTCTTAAAACTTGAGATAGCAGTACTGTGGACAGATAGCTCCGGTCTTCCCTATTCTTCATATTTTTAATACGACTCGCTTTTAATCTAAAGGTGGAAATTGCACATGATTCGCGAATCGATAAGAGTTAATTCTATGATAAAAATTGACAAAAGTCCATTTTATATAGCTGCATTTCGATATTTACTGTCAGTACTGAAAATCTATAGTATACGTGACATAAAATATAAAAAAATATAGATTTTCAGTACTGACAGTGAATATCGAAATGCAGCCAATGTTTGTGCCATGTTTGTGCAATCTAGTTTGCTTCCAGCAGTCATTGAACAATCATTACGTATCAAATAAACTTGTCTCATATCTTGCGTACGATAGGAGTAATCCGCTCTAATGACATCTTTCTTTGTTACAATACCAATATCGAGTTTAATTATTATAATATATAAATATGTATATATATATATATATATATATATATATATATATATATATATATATATATATATATATATATACATATATATATGCATATATACAGATATCTTGTTGTAGTTCAATTAATTATTGTAAAATTTTTTAATATAGACAATATGGAATCTTGCGACGATTCGCAATTTGTGTGATAGCGCAAATGTGTGCGCGTGCCTGGCAACGCAGGTAGACGAGAAGTTCTCGTATATACCTGCCGAACGATCCAAACGCGTCGCCTACGTCGTCGCGCTGCATGCCGTTATTCATGCTGCTGTTATTGTCGGTGGAGCACATGGTGTTAATTTTCGCGTAATAAGCTCACAGATCGCGGGAAAGAGCCTATCTCTCACTGCGCAGTTTGTGCAGTCACTTTGTCTGAACAAAATACGTAGCGTAGCCAAGCTTAGCAAGCACTTCGATAACGCTGAATAATACTGAACTGTACTGAACCCTGAAACGTGTAGAGACGTAGAGAGAATGGGTCCATCTAGGAGCACGACCACTCACTGAGCTGCTAAGTAACAATAGAATGTGATTGGTTCTTTCCTTTAGATCCAACCAGTCACACTTAAGCCAGAGGCACACGGAGCACAGTATGGGAGCTTTTCATTTAGCGACTCAAGTTGACACAAGCGTCATTCTGGGAGCTTTCCAGCAAGCGACAAGTCGACAAAAATGTTCCAGTAAGCAAGGAACATTAAATTAATGTTTAGAAATATTGACTTTATGTGTATTTTTTCAACGTTTTTTTAATAATACTAGACACTACAGACGCGCGCTTCGCGCGCGCTATTTAGCTTTAACATTATGCTATTACTATTACACTATTAACTCCTTGATACACTACACAACTGTCAAAGGCTGCGTTCGGGGAGCGCGCTATTAGCGCTATTGCATCATTCTATCTTTATCGCTCATCAAGTGTAGAACAAGGATAGAATAAGCAAATAGCGCTAATAGTGCGCTCCCCGAACGCAGCCAAAATATACAATGACAGCTGCAAATAAAGTAAGCGCAGCAAGAGAACCAATCGGCATCGCGGAAAAGTGACAACAATAAACTTCACATCTCCTTTGTGCAAATTCATAGGACGCTGAAAAACAGCGTTGAGCGTCGTCACGTGACATCACCATGATGCCAGCGTCAAGAAAGAGAAGTTGGATTTTTCCGACTTCAAGCGTCAAAGTCAAAGCAGCGCGAAGATGCCGAAATTTTGACGCTGTTTTCCTTTTCATGAATTTCAATTGACGCCGGCGTCAATTGTGGTCATGCGACCTTCTTGCCGCTGAAAATGAGCGTCGAGCGTCAGCATGTGAAAGCCAGAGAGAAACCTGAGAGAGGCCATCCCGGCATTTTTCGTCAATTTTTCTGTGTCGCATTTTCCGACGCGCCGCCTGAGAAAGTGCAACTCAATCTACAACTCAACTACGTCGTTTCGCTCGGTAACCGCACATGGTTTGCGTCCGTGCTAATGGTTCGTGTCCAAACTAGCCAGTTAGAGGGGATATGCTGCGGCCGCGGCGCACAGTGGAGCCGTTTGCGCGAATCGCGGAAAAAATTATGTTATTTGTGAAATATGCAATGAATGATCATAGAACCTTTCAATGTTGACTTATAAAAATTGCAAAAGTGTATATTTATTAAAAATTAATGATAGGAACAAGTATTTGATTGAAATTAAATAAAAATTCAATTTACATTTAATTTACGTATAAGAGCAAAGTAATTCTTGGGTCTCATCGCTTAAGTCTAAATTTTTTTGATGTGGTTTACTTCTTAAACTAGTTATTAACGGATCGGATGACACGAGCATCATATGCATAACATCTTCATTTGTAAACAGACGGCTACATTTTCTACTATGATTAAGTCGATATCGTTTATAGTCCTTATTTCTTGCCTCTTGAGCTTTTTCCGATAATGTCCCAACAGGTAACGCTGCATTTTTCGAGGCATTTTCTATAATTTCCTTACCGTGAAGAAGAATTTTATGAACGGTAATTGGCATAAAGTACCAAGAATATTTTTCAATAAATATTTCCGCTGCCTTGTACGCATTAGAACCGAATTTTTCTGAATTTATTTCTTCACCACAATTAATTGTTTGTAATATTGTGGAAAATCTTCTGATCATCTTCTGATCAATTCCTCGTCAACTCCAGTTATTTCTGCTGTGATTTTTGGATCAGCAAAAAATCGTCGAGAAGTATTTCCGTCATTAGATGATCCGGAACCTTGTTTAACGATGTCTACCCTCAGTCCAAGTTTATTATAAAAAGCGTCTTGTATTCTTTTTTTTTTTTGTTTCTTCTTTTTGAACGCGTGTTTCTGGCGTTGTTGACCACTTATTCTTGAAAGACAAATTGTAGGCAATATGTAATATACATTCCATGAATTTGATTCGTGCGTGCAAGGGTGACATTCCTAATTTGAGTGCTTCTTTTCTTTGTTAGACCTTTTATTAATTTCTGTTAAGTTGTTCATTTGAGATGGTTTGGAACCGCAAATGAAGCATGAAGATGATGAAGGCGCGTGGGTTACAGCTTGAGCTACCTTACCGTCTATCATCGTAAATATCATTTGATGATTTATTTTGAATGTGGTTCCGAACTTTTCTATTTCTGTTTCTCGTAATTGAGCAATTTCGTCATCCATACGTTGCTTTTCACTTTTTATTTTTTCAGCAGTTTCTTTTGTGTATTCAAATTGTATTG